TACGTACCTCATCTAGCATCTCCCTGGTAGAGTACTGGCTGGTCACCCCAGTCACCAAGTTCGATATACTGTGGGACCCGAGGTCAAACCTGTTGTATGAAAACAAACACGGACACAATTATAAGTTCACAATATTCAACTCTGTTTACATTTTTAAGTCCATCCATCCATCCATCCATCCATCCCTCCATCCATCCATCCATCCATCCATCCATCCCTCCATCCATCCATCCATCCATCCATCCATCCATCCATCCATTTTCTTCTGCTTGTCCGGGGTCGGGTCGCGGAGGCAGCAGGTGGAGCAGGTCATTCCAGACTTCCCTCCCACGCAACGCTTTCCAGTTCTTCCTGGGGGATCCCAACATGTTCCCAGGCCAGCCGAGAGATATAATCCCTCCAGCGGGATCTGGGTCTGCCCCAGGATCTCTTCCCAGGTGGACATGTTCGGAAAACCTCTAGAGAAAGCCTCTCCAGAGGCATCTGAATCAGATGTCCAAACCACCTCAACTGGTTTCTTTCGATACGAAGGAGCAGCGGCTCTACTCCGAGCTCCCTCCGGATGTCTGAGCTCCTCACCATATCTCTAAGGCTGAGGAGGAAGCTCATTTCGGCCGCTTGTATCCGCGATCTTGTTCTTTCGGTCACGATCCAAAGCTGGTGACCATAGGTGAGGGTTGGAACATAGATGGACTGGTAAACCGAGAGCTTCGCCTTGCGGCTCAGCTCTCTCGTCACCCCGACGGTCCGGTACAGCGCCCTCATTACTACTGACACCGCACCAAGCCACCTGTCCACCTCGCGCTCCATTTTCCCATCACTCATGAACAAGATCCCGAGATGCTTAAACTCCCTCACTCTTTTCTGAAATCTACATCTCCGGTCCCCCTTTTCGAAAATGGGAACCACCACCCCGGTCTGCCACTCCACAGGTACTCTGCCTGATGCCCATGTGACACTGAAGAGACATGTCAGCCACAACAGTCCGACAATGTTCAGAGCCTTTAGCATCACACCTGGTGCTTTGCCACCGAGGAGCTTCTCATCTACCTCGGCAACCTCTACCACAGATATGGACGTAGAAATCCCAGAGTCTTCAGGCTCTGTCCCCCCAGCAGAGGACGTGTTTACTGGGTTCAGGAGTTCCTTGAAGTGCTCCTTCCACCACGCGACAAGATCCTCAGTGTGGGTCAGCAGTTCTCCTCCCCAACCAAAAGTCCTTCTCCATAGCCTCCCCAAACTCCTCCCACACCGGAGTTTTAGCTTCCACAACCGCAGCAGCTGCAGCTGCAGCCCTTTTGGCCAACCGATACCTGTCTGCTGCTTAAGGAGACCCCCGAGCCAACCAGGCCCGAAAGGTCTCCTTCTTCAGCCTGACGTTTTTAAGAGGCGTTTTTAAGAACAAATTATGCTTTGTGGAGCATCAAAATAAGAGGAAAATTGACACCGAGTGTGTGATTGACCAACTGACTTCTTGATCAAGGTGTGCCAGTGGGCTCGGAGGAAGTCCCAGGCCAGTTTGTAGCCGTGTGGGTTCTTGCTGATAGTGTTGATCACG